AAGACCTTCAACGACATATTACAGATGCTTGAAAAGTGGCACAAACGTGTCACCAGCTGTAGTTCACATCTACAGCTGCGTTCACATCCTGTAGGATGGTTTTGTGTCGTTTGCTGATCATGCAAAAGAACGTTGCCAATCGTGCCTCCCGCCCACGTTCACCGTAAAGCTGAACAACCAACTCACAATAATCATTCTTTGAAAATCGCTCCATGACCATGAACTTCAACATACAACCTCCTAGTTCACAGTTCCACTGTCTGACGGAATATCATGCTAGTGCAACTTACAGCCCCGAGGAGTCATTTCTTGTATAGCTGTATAAGCTCTTTTCCGATACTTTTCTGAGGAGAAAAATCTTGGATTTGGTGGGCTGTATGTTGGTTTTCCAGCGGCTATACCAGTCCTCAATAATTGTAATCTTTTCTTGGAGTTTGACCAATGCATGGTCGGGACAACGTGACTTGCAAACAAGAGCCGTGTCGTCCGCGTAATTAGCCAGGAGGAAATTAATATCATCTTGAAAGTTAGGGAAATCGTTCACGTAAATGATATAACATATCGGACCAATAATTCTACCGTGGGGGACACCCCCAAGGATGTTACTGATGCTCGACGTCACGCTGCCGTGCTTGACAGAGAAAGTACGATCTTTCAAGAATGACTGTGGTGGGAAATGACTTTATAGTCTTTCGCGCGCTTCGATCGTAATTCAGTTAGTTGTGTACTTGGTGAGTAAATCGAAGTATATTGTAAACACCGAATTCTACGCTAAGTAAAAGAGTGTGGAAGAAAGTTGAAAAAGCATCTGCTTGCACTTGCCTGCTGGCCCACAAATTTATAGCAACCCTTCCCTTCCGCCCGTTTCTCAATCAAAAATTAATTAATTACAAAAAATTAATTTTTGCATAGATTTAGTGGAGTAAAAATTCCACATCACCTTTATTTAGGTAAAACGAAATTGAAAAAATAATACATACATATATAAATAAAAATAATACCTTTACATATGAAATTTGGAGATATTACAGTCAAAAGTCTTTAATCCGGACTCGTCGGAATTTCGGCGATTCCGGATTATCGGTTTTTCCAGATTATAGATCATCAGTTTAAATCTGGTAAGATGGCATGCAGAAATTATAAAATTAAAAATATGAAACCGTAATTTATGAAATAAAGAGCAATAATGATCTAAAAGGTATCAAAATTTACAAAAAAGCTTAATATTTATTTGTTTACTTTATTAAACATTTCTTTCAACGCGCGCATGCGTAAAGCATACATTACGCATAGTCGAAATTAGAAAATTGCAACCAGAAAACTATTTGGTGTGTATTTGTGATATTTCTAATGACGAGGAATTTGATTTGAATCATATCAAAGACGGAGCACATCGAGATGAAATACGACATTTAGTAAGGAATTATAAGCCGAATAAGATAAAAACATCTGCCCTGAAGATAAGGATAGTGCTGACAGATCAACTTACAGTTCATTGCGTGCCGCGTCGCCCCCCCCTCAGAGCAGCGTGAAATTGATAAACATATTGCGGAATGATTAGAGAATCAAAGGATATGCCTTTATCCATTTTTTGCCGCAATTCCACTTTTTGTTTGATGGACATCGAAACATGCTTTCGCTTTGTATATCCTTTGGCAGCTCCAGAATCGGAAATTCTTTTTGACATAAAGTTTAAGCTTACTTTTATAAAATTGCTCTAACAGTCTGCAAAAATTTAATAAGCTGGATCCAATTAGAAGATTAAGGAACAACGCAATCTGCAACATTAACTGAAATAGATTATTTGATAATTTTAGCTTAACTTATACCGTCCGTTATGCATTAAATGCGCATGCGTAAAGGTATTATGCGCTTGCTTAAACGCATATGCGCATGCGTAAAAGTCTGATATCCGTTCAGTAAAAGTCTGAAGTCTTACTATAAGGAAAAACCAAAATTATGTATAATTTAGATCACACTATCAAGTTTTTAACACTGGCGCCAAGTAACAGATTTGGCGACAATATATCAGAATCAAAAAGGAATGGTACTTTAAAATTACCAATCGTACAGTAAAATTAAATAAAAATAAATGCACATCACATTTTTAACCTTTGTTAACCTAGCACAAAGTTTACATGAAATGTAGAATACAATTTTACAAACAGTCTTATAAACTATTTGCGATAATAAAAAGAAACATCACAAACAGTATTGACAATACTTTACTGCACAAACACATGCACAATCCACAACGCAATTGATTTTGTATTTATAAAATCGTTTGATAGTCAATAAATGACGGTGAAATAAAAATACACATTTTGAAGAAATACAAAGAGTAATTTTTCTACATTCTATGGAAAAATACGATTCTGAACTTACCTCACCAACGACACGCTACTGGACGTGGAATTCATTAATCCTGACGATAATTAATTATCCATTGTTTTCATTGTATAATCCCAGGGGATCGACTGGTGGAAATTTTCGGAACCGACCATTTATGGGAAGAGACCCGGGGATTCTCCCAGACCACTGGCTGGACTTATGTCCTGCCAGCTTCGATTTGTTGGGTATATAATCATACTTCACAGGACTAGAACTATGACCCATCAGCCATCTTCCCAGCATGGCCAAGATCTTAGAACGAATCATCCTCACCCGGATTCAACCTTATCTCGATAAGCTCCCATTAGAGCAATTTGGTTTTCGCAAAGCTCTTTTGACCACAAAACAACTGGTGCGTTTAAACGAATTTATAGGCGGGGCTTTGCACAACAAGAGATATGTTGCTATGCTAGACGTGGCGAAGGCATTCGACCGCGTCTGGCATGAGGGGCTAATCTACAAGCTGATTAACTTAAAGTTCAGTAGAGAACTTATACAGATCATTCACTTTTTCCTTTCCAACAGGACTTCTATGTACAGATAGGTAAAGATACCTCCAGAAATAAACACGTGAAGGCCGGCGTCCCACAAGGATCTATACTTGGACCCGTGTTATACTTATTTTATGTAGCAGACTTCCCTGTAGATCACTTAGATCAAAATTGCTTCATGGGGTCTTATGCTGACGACACAGCTTTCGCTATCAAGTCTACATCACCAAATTTTGCTATTACGAAGCTGCAAAGACTTATGCCGAAACTCGAGCTCTGATGCTCTAAGTGGAGGATCGCAATAAATGCAAACAAATCAAATCTTATTGTCTTCAAGAAAAAGAAAATGGATACTCCTCTGACTACTCAACTCAAACTCTTTTGTACCGTAGTGCCAATTGTAAAAAGTGCCACTTATCTAGGGCTCAAATGCAGCTCCAGTTTTCAGTGGAAGGAGCACATCAATCACATCAGAGGTAGGACAGTGGGAGTTATTCAAAGTCTCACTCCACTTCTTTCTTCGACCTCGAAACTTAACTTAAAACGTAAAAGGCACATATACATCTCTGTTATTCGGCCCATCTTTGCCTACGCGTCTTCCGCCTGGGCCTCAGTTTATAAGAAAGACTTAACTGAAAGTGACACAGAATAAGCTATTACGTGTGATCACCAACGTTCACTACTATGTCTCAAATCCGACGCTGTACAGAGATTTAAAATTAGATACTGTTGAAGAGTTTCTGCACAAGACCAATATAAATTTTTCAAGAAAGCGCAGGACTGTAGTCACATGAATGATTTAAATGTACTCAATTATGTTATTCTCGAGGAGGATTCAATGTACAGACCACTTGCGGCCCACCTCGCTCGGGACTTAAATTTTCCGACTTAATCTGCTGCACTGATTGTGCATAGGTTTTTGTATTCTGCATTACATATGTATATTATCTTAATTTGTATTTTATCAGAATTTTGTATTCTGTAATAATATCATATTTTACTGTATCCAAATGTGTTGTAATTTGTATATAACTTGCATCATTTTTTCTTTCCTAGTTTTCCATCCCTTGTATTACATATTAACATGTTTTGTATCACTTGTCTGATGTGTTTCTGTTATTTTTGCACCAACACAAACATACAGCACAGTATCCTCAAAGATCTTGAATCTGTGCTTCTCGTTGCTCTTGCTTCTCGAACGACACATGGTCGCCCCCTGTTACCACCTCAGACCTTCATTAATTTCTGTCAAGAAACTCTAATGTCAAGTGCCCACTGGGCATTAATTGTCATGAGCCGGACAAATCGCGCCTCGCGCGATATTTCCGCAATATCTATGCAGACCAGACCAGACTAGAACCATAGGTCCATCCTATGGTAGGCGCGGGGTTGGCAGGGATCGTACTGGTGCGGCTCCCCGCGCAGCCCTCAGTGTGATGGATTGTGGCGATGAACATGAGAAGTCCCTGCGGGCTGTTCGGTGGGTTGGAGCCCCGCCGGCATAGTCGTCCGAGGGAGGCTGTTGAATCATGTTAAGGCGCTCTAATAGCTGCCAGGTAATGTAGCCCGACTTGGTGTCCGTGCCTTCATTGTATGCAAAGCGAACGCATTGCTTCAATCACCGAAAATTCGCTGCCGACGCAGAGAAAGTTGACTGGTTTCATCCAAATAAGCTTCAGCTAAAACTGACGCAAAACCTTCCGCCATGTTTATTGCAGGAAATATAACCATCTGTTTATATAACTCGAAGTTTCAGACCTGTCCTTACTTTAACAGCCATCTCATCAATTTAACGGTCTAATTTAACGCTAGCTTTGATGAGAATACCAATACTTTGGATTTAACTACTTGTGACGTCAGAGTCCCACGTGATTCCTTAAGTCTCACTTAACGCTGTGGTTAAAAATGTCATGAATAGGGCCCTAAGGAGGACTATAAAGGGTCTGTAGTAGCTCTAGTGCGGTCTATAATGACGTCACACCGAAGGAGTTCTTGGCTTTTCTTTTTTTTATTCGAAGTTAGGTAACCTGATCTACGAATATCATATACAATCTTCTTCGCGGGGTCAAAAGACTTCACACTCCATACTTTTACTGTTTGAAGATCTTCTGCGAATAACTGTGCCAAATTCATATCACGGAATTTTATTCGTATCGTTCATGTTTAGCATTTTCTTACATTCCAGGCACTTCACTGCCCGAAGTAGTAGTGATAAAATTAAGATTTCGCAGTAAAGAATAAATGTTATGTCATCATTCCGTATCTGTAATTCAGTAATTTCACTGATTCTTTACAATTCGCAGCGCAATGGTATTCGTTCAGTGAAAGTGTATGCTTAATACGCAAAAGTAAATATTTTTTCCCTTTTTTTTTGGAGGGGGCACTGTAAACTTTAATATGCGTACTTGTATATGATTGCATAACTATCAGTTTTTACGGAACAGGCGTAAAATGTGTCTCTTTGCGTATATTTTAGGCTTTTTATTTCCCCCCTTCGAATAAATCTACAATGGTTTTCAAAAGTTTTCGTACACTTAGGAGTTTCAGTGAAATACCGCAATTTCATTAATAAAAATTAATATTTGAGAATGATAATTTTTTAATAATATCTCTAAATTTCTCTTTGCAAAAATACATTAGTTATTTTATAAACATTATGAAAGTTTTTTCTAGAAAATCAGTAATAAAAAAGTAACAGAAAAGTTACCTCACAAAAGTCTTTGTACACTTCAAAGAAATGTGTGCATATTGTAACTATTGTAGTATTTTTTGCAGGATATCTTGTAACATTTATGACAACTTTCAAACATCTGGGCATACAGTTCACCAGTTTTTTTTTTTTTTTAAGGTAATATTCGCATATTTCTCTTAGCAAAAATACATTAGTTATTTTATGAACATTGTGAAGGTTTTTTTTAGAAAATCAGTAACAAAAAAAGTAACAGAAAATTTATTTCACAAAAGTCTTTGTACACTTCAAAGAATTGTGCACATATTTGTAAATATTGTAGTATTTCTGCTAGTTAGTATTTTGCAGGATATCTTGCAATATTTATGACAGCTTTCAAACATCTGGGTGTACAGTTCACCAGTTTTTTTTTTTGGTAATATTCGCATCAATATTCTTCCATTCTTTTGTCATTCCTGTTATTAGTTCAGTTTTCATTATGTTGTGACTTCGGACTATACCTGTAATTCTCACCTTTCTGATGCATTCTGCCGGGTTTTAATGTAGTGACTGTTTTGTTTCTAGAACTTGTGGACAATTAATAGGTGCACCAAAGGTGAACTTTGAGGGTTGTATTCTTAGGAGCGTTATGCTTATAAAAAGTTGTTTCCAGTACCTATATTTTGGGCAGATAATTTAAAATTATCTTTTAAGATATTTAAATAAAGAGCATGGTTAATTATGCTATCAATAAATGCCAAATTACCTAATCCTGATGCTGACATGCACCACGAGGACACCTCCACTGCAGTGCTTTACTATTCCAATCTGGTTCTTGCGTTTACTTCTTCATTTTTTCTTCTCTGTATAATTATGCGCCCATCAAAACCAAAAATGTTAAATTTGCTGTCATCTGCAAATAAGATCTGTTTCCAATATGCTTCGAGCTTATTTACCACTAGTTTTTCCAAGGAAAGAATAAGAATTTTTTTGCATTTGTTATTTCTTGAACATTGTCAAGAGAAACTGAAGTAGAAAATTTTTCAGTAAATTCTTTAGAAAACTTTACAGCACATAAATGTGGATTTTTCACAGATTTTCTAACTATAAATCTCTGATCACGTCGAATTAACTTGGCCGAATGGCTTCTTTTTACTTAATTTTTGATCCGATTTTTTTCTTTAAAGCATTTTATCATATACTGCATTGTAGAATGGAATAAATTTACTAATTTTGTGATATCCCAGCTCGATTTTCCACCCTTATGATGAAAAATTATCAATTTTCAAATGATATTTGTTGTTTCCTTATGACTAAAACTTATTTGTTAATATAAAATAAAATATAATAAGTAAACAAAGAATAAAGCCAAGAAATTTTTAAATGTCATCAAAATGCAAAAATAAAAAAAAGTGGCAAACTATAATTTTATTTATGAATTTTACGAAACTTTTTTATGTTATTTCATTGTGTTGAGTTTATGTGAGATGTGTTTTATCTATGCCTCATTACATTTTGGTTTGAATCTTTGGAATATGGTAACAAGCAGTTTGGCGACATTTTGCTAGGCGATAAAGGTTACTACCTAGGACTTTGGGGAATAATGTGAGAAGTACTCCAATTCCGAATTACGCATTATTTTGTGGTGAGGGAAATGAGAGATCATGAGGATATGTCATGTGACATTTAATGGACGAATTACGGTTCTTTAATCGGAAAAGGGGGAAAATCGGGAAAAAATATCTGCAGTTCTTTATAGCATTTTCTATTTAGGTTCATTGTGTGTTGTGTGAAAGAGAACAGTGTTCGTGAATTTTGGATCCCATGGCCATAACTAAAGTGAATTCGAAAGGGTATTATGTATGTATTAATTTAATGTATGTGCTCATTTATATTTTAAGTAGTGTTTTGAATTTAATTATATTTTAATTAAATGATAGTTATTTTGTGAATTTTATGTTTGTAGGAATTGGTATACGTTTTAGTTGAAGTAAACGTGCATGGAAATAATTTACAATATTTGATACTAAGTATTTGTAATGCTTGCGGTATGAATTCGTTGGTGACGTGTATAATGTAATAGATGATTTAGAGGTAAAAGTTTTTGGATATTTTATTATTTTATATGTGGAAATGTTCATATTTGGAAAGGGTAAATACTTTTTCGCGATCAGGTAATTTCATATATGTTCTTTTTACCGGGTTTAAAGATTGAGAAAATTGTCATGTATTATCGTGAAATTTTTCTAATTTATGAGAAAAAAGCAGTGTACATGGATATAGTGAAGAGTGTGCGCAATGCCATTTTTGTGCAATTCTGGGATTTTTTTTAAGTAAAAATAAGTCGGCGTGTACATGGTTTATGTGTATGTGTTATTTTGAAAAACGCATAAGGAGTATGGTATTGTGTACTTTTCCCAATTTTGCAGTGAATATTTGTCACGATTAAGCAGTTTTGTTAGATAAAATTTCTAGCATAAGTGTAATTCGGCTAGTAGATTGTTGGAAGAAGTGTTCAGTAGATAAAAAGAAAAGAAACATGTCTTTACTTCGTGAAGACAAAATGGCGGCAGGAAAAAAAAATAGAGGGTTGCTGTAGGAGAGTTGGTCGCCAAATTTTCGCCAAAAAAACGCCAAGTTACCATAATGTAAAGATCAACCACATTTTTCAATTTTAGAAAAAGAAAATAAGTCAATATTAAAAAAAAAGTTTGCTTTTATTGAAAATCTCGTGGAGAAGATTATGAAAAAATATTGGGCTTTATATCTGATTTTGGTTCTAGACAATAGTGCTTTTTCTACAACTTCTTAAAATGTACAAGAACTTTTGGGAGCTATTGTATATTGATTTCTAATCGTACAGAAGAATGGATTTATTCATCTGTCTTCAATAAGAGTGTAATTGCTGCCCTGAAAAGTAACTTATGCTGTCAAATATCTTATAATTTCATATCTCAAAATAATTAGAAGCAAAATGCTTTTAGTGGTATTCTTGTAAATAAGCTGGTATTAAAAAAAGTAAAATTTTTTTTTTGTTATGTGTTCTTGTCATTTTTAAGCAAGTTTCTAAAATTATTTTCATGAAGTTATGGTAGTTTTTCATTATAGATTATTCCTTGATTTTCAAAATGATTTAAAATTTGTTCATTAAAAATGATGAAACATATAAATGAAAAGTCAGTGATGCCCATTTATTTAATTAGGAAGCACTTGTGAATTTTTTATTGAAAGGAATATATTCTGTATGCTATTTATTATTTATATTTAATTGTATGTTTTGATATCGGTTTAATTGCATGCTTTCTCATGCTTGATAGGATCATCTACCACTTATGGTGATTAAGTTAAGGCAACAGTAAATTCAAGTTTAACTCTAGCAGCCAAATGCCACACAATTGATTTAATGCAAAGTTGCTTCAAGCTTCTCACCGACATAACAGTTTAAATGATAGCAGCTGTAATGCAATGCTAAAGAAATTACAATCTTATCTGAACTAGTGAAAACTAGTAACTTGGCCTCAAGAGGCAGAAACATACCGTGTCTTAAAATCTGAGCTTGAATACTCTCAAACTAATTTGCATGATGGTAGAGAAACTTAAAGAGAAGTGACAGTAAAGATTTAAATCATAAAATAATAGTTATGTATATAATAATAACAATAACTGTTATTTTATGATTGAGTGTTCTTTAAATAAGGTGTTCTTAGCATAGTATAAGATTATATCAGTGGCAACTGCTGTTTTGAAAAAAATTAGAGGAAAGAGGTCTGCTCAGCAGATTTGTCCCCATGCCTCAAATTTTTTAAATTGGATCCTTATTAAAGGCCCATCAAATTCAGGAACAGGTTGCAACTGTTCTTGAATTTGATGGGCCTTTAATAAGGGAGTGAAAGTTAACTCAGTTTTCAGAGCCGTTCCTAGGCCATTGGCTGCCCGCATACTTTCCTAAGAATGCCACCCCATAATTTAAAAAAAAAAAAAAAAAAAAAAAAAAATGCTCAATCATCAATAAAATTTTTATTTCATGCTCACTAAGTACTTGCATATGACAAATTGTATATAAAGTACTTGCATATGACAAGTAATATATTTAAAATATTTAGGAATGTTATCATGAGAGTCTGGCTGCGCACATACTTTTATGTGTTGCACCCCCACCAGGAATGGCCCTTCCAGTTTTCTTTGATTATTCACCTAACCCTGACAAGATTTGCCAATCAAAGGTTCGCCGAAGTAGGCGACCCCTGATTTTACGAAAATGTATTTATCTTGCATCAGACTTAATCTTTACTTTTGTATGTGCATTATGCTAGTGTGTAATGTGTGCAGTTTTGAAATTAGAGAATTTTGTTTGGGGTTTCTGCTTGTTGCGATTAATGTGCAAAGTTTTCTTCCGCCTTATAATGAATCATTATGCCATTTTGGAGTTTACCTGCTATTGAAAAAAGAAAGTGTATTTTTTCAGAAATACTGTATCTTGCCAGGAAGCTGAGAATGTAGAAATGGGCATTTGATGAAGTTAATGTATTGAAATCTGTAACTTTTTTTTAAAGTTAAAACAGGTTGATGATTATATGGAGAGCAGTCCCAGGTTGTGCAATTTTTTTGCAAATTTGCCAGAATTGACAATCCTGTACTACTTAAATTTATATCTGTGCGATTTTGTGAATTTTCTGCTGCTCCATCATTTGCTTGTGCTATTTTTCGCCACCTTAAAATTTTTTACTGTATCGTAGTCTATGAACTCTTATGCAGTCAGTTTTTAAAAATATAATCTGTTACTTTAAAATAAACACTTCAAAGCCATTTGTTTCTTCCCCAAAACCATAACCACAGCAACAATTGCTATGGGAAATAAGTCAAATCCTTTAATTTCCTAAAATTCCTTGATTTCCTCTGTGTGGAGATGACAAAAATACTTCAAAGTGCTTATTTCAGAGTAACAGACTGTAGCCACTGGTGTTTGCACATGATCTGATTCATTAATTGCTTTGTTTAATTTTTGATGACCTGTGAGTAGGATTCCAAAGTTTAAGCCAGATTATACCTGCTGTGTTAGCTTAACTGTGAATAGTGAGTAATGTGAAAAATTCAGCACCACCTTTTAAAATCCTTAGCTTGAAGTATCTATGTTTGAGAACTCCTGGGAAGAATGAAAACAGACGAGACAAAAGCTTATTACAAAATATGTCGGTGCAAACATAGGACACATAAAATTGATTTAATGGGGTATAGTGCTTCTTTAAACATAATTTTATACTTGAAAACAGATGGTTCTGTTAGAGGATTGTTTTTCTTAGATGGCTCTTTTTCTGCTCTATATTTTATTTCAAACACCATCTAATTAATTTTAAAATGAAAAATTTTAAAGTACTTAATATATATACAGCCTAAACCAAACAAAAGTCAAAATTCAAAACAAGTCAAACAAGAGTCAAAATTTTAGAAGCTAAGACATAAATGTCCATTCACAGTTGAAAAATTATCTCATTGTTAAAAATAAAATATAATTTAACTGACTATAAAAAGATAAACTGCCAACTCAAAAAGATACTACAATAATGTTAAAATTTCAAACATGAGAAAGCATCTAATAGAAAATATGAACAAATTCAAAAATTAACTGAAAAATAATAACCTGAATTACATAATGTAACATATAAGTAGTATAAGTGTCCCAGCCATAACGATAGTTATAGCCTACAATGTACAGAACTTACTGAGACTGGATTTATGATAACATCAGATGTTGTGTGAATCATGGACTTGCAACGTCACAAAAACTACATAATCTCTGATTTTATGTACTACTTTCTGCTATTTTTCAATTCTTTTACTACTTTAGTTGAAAAAATTTCTGGGAACGTTCTTGCTAAGTTGTTGTACAATGCCAAGAATTCTGCAGCTCTTTGATTTTTAAATTGGATCTTTGTGCACATAGCAGAGCAGAAAAAAGGAAGTTAAGTGTTTTATTATGGATGTTTGCTGCATTTTTAATATAGCTTATTTGTTGCTGTTTTATGTAATTTTGAGTGTTTCATTATAAGTGTTTTTTTCTGTGTAATTTTCAGTGTGCTATTATCTATGTTTCTTACACTTTTAAATTCATTAATTTGTTGATCTTTTATGTAATTTTAAGTGCACTGCCATTTTTTAAAATAGCTACTGTTTTTATATGTTATGTTGGTGGAAATTTAGTCTCCATTGACTGGCAACTTTGCAGGAGGGTTGGGCAGATAATCAGAGAATACTCTTATTTCTTAATGTTATGTTATACAGAAATTTCCTTAATATAAACATGTAACAAAGTGTCATCTAACAGACATTGTTGATAAATATACTGGTTCTTATCTCTAAATTAGGGATAATTTTAGTGTAATATTATGTGAAAGTTGAATATCTTGTATATAGTCAAGGACCAGTTAACTAAAGTAATATTAGGAACAGTATTTATTGTTAATTCACAGATAGTTAAGGAAAGGGGGAGCAAATTATCCACATTATAATTAATGGAATATCCTTTTAACAACTTAACCTATTTTCAAGAAATTAAAGAATAAATTTGTTTGGTTGCATAAATTAAATTAATGTTATTGGCATCACTAAGTGAGATTAAATTCATTTAATCAAATGTTTACAGTTCACCTAGCTAAAAGTGTTAAAGACCAGAAAGTGTAAGAAATAGTTCTAGTTTTAATTTTTTTAAATTTATTTTTTTCACCTGTAGCTGTTTAATTTTCATCCTAGTAATTTTTTATCCCAATTTTCCAGATGACAGGTAGTACAGCTGTCCAGGTTTTTGTGTCAGGTCTCAAGAACCGGAATGAAGATGTTCGACTTAAAACTACAAAAGATCTACATCATTACATAACTACTGAGCTCCGTGAGATGAGCATAGAGGATGTAACTGCATTTTTGGATGAGTTTAATCATCATATATTTGAAATGGTGTCAAGCTCTGATGTGAATGATAAGAAAGGTGGAATTTTGGCCATTGGTAATTGAATTGTATTACAAATAAATATTATTGTTTCAAAAACTGTAAGTGACAATTATGGGGCACATTTAAAATATTATCCTGCATAATATGATTCTTCTTCATTTTACATGGGAGAGAAAATGTGTATATGCCCCATCTTTATAAACATTTTGACTGCTTATATCTTAATTCAGAAGTCAAACAACAAAAATCAGCGTTATACCTACAAAATTTTCACAGGACTAGTTTCGATGGTTTTACCGAACCACCATCTTCAGCTGCCAAAACCGCAAATGAAACAAGATAGGAAATAATGATTAGATAAGAGATAAGAAAGCCTGGACCAGAATAACCAAAAGTGGCGCCATCTGTTGGCGAAACCAGAACTAAAACATAATTTCTCTAAAAGCCGAAGGCAAATTTGGATTGGAATTAGGATCGTTTAACTAGAACAGAAAGATTTTTATGAATGTGAAATGCCTCTAGAAAATCCAGTTCTCCAATAGAAGATGTTTTTTGAATAATTTTGGCAGCTGAAAATTGAAAGTGTGATTTTCGGACCAACAATGTTGAGCAACAGAAGACCTCTGTGTTCCTTTTTTCTAACATATGCCTCATGTTCTTTGACGCGAAATTTTAAGGCTCTCTTAGTTTGGCCAAATGTAAATTAAACCACACCTGGCAAGGAATATAAATACCCCAGGAATTCATATCCGGAATGGGGGTCCTTGAGTTAAGAAGTTGGATTGAATTTTATGATGGGAGAGAAAAAAACAAACCCGAAAGTTAAATTTCTGCAAAATATGTGCAACTTTATAGCTAATTGATGGAAAGAAGGGAATGACAACAGATTTTTATAATCTTCCTAAAATAAGAGTGTGGCTTTTAGTGTGTTGAGATGAGAATTTTTAACTGCTTGATTAATAATGTTGGGTGAAAAGCCCCTGTCAATAGCTATTGCTTTTAAATAATTTAGTTCTTCATCAAGGGCTAGTTTGGAGGAGCAAACTTGAAGAGCACGGAAAACATAGGAATAAAATGAAGCTAACTTTTGTTTAGTCGGATGACATGATTTAAAGTGTGGTGGAAGGCCAAACCGATGAAGGTTTTACGGTAAACTGTAGTACTGAAGTTGGATGTGTTACGTGTGACCAGAATGTCGAGAAACGGAAGAGAAGAGAATTGCAAGTCTCAAGTTCAAAAGTGAACTGAATAGCAGGATCAACAGAATTCATTGTTGAAAGAACTTTATTTAAATCATCTTTATTACCTTCAAACAGGGCAAAAAGTATTGTCTACGTAGCGGAACCATGCCGGGAAGTTTAAAGTTTCAAACAATTTTGATATTCATAAATAATGCATGTAATATCAGCCAGGATGGGGGAGAGGGCTTTTCACCCAACATTATTAATCAAGCAGTTAAAAAATTCTCATCTCAACACACTAAAAGCCACACTCTTATTAGGAGGATTATAAAAATTCTGTTGTCATTCCCTTCTTTCCATCAATTAGCTATAAAGTTGCACATATTTTGCAGAAATTTAACTTCGAGTTGTTTTTTCTCCATCAATAAAATTCCAACTTCTATACTCAAGGGACCCCATTCGGATATGAATTCCTGGGTATTTATAGGATTCCTTGCCAGTGCGGTTTAATTTACATTGGCCAAACTAAGAGAGCCTTAAAATTTCGCGCGTCAAAGAACATGAGGCATATGTTAGAGAAAAAAGGAAACACAGAGGTCTTCTGTTGCTCAACATTGTTGGTCCGAAAATCACACATTTTCAATTTTCTGCCCAAAATTATTCAAAAAACATCTTCCATTGGAGAACTGGATTTTCTAGAGGCATTTCACATTCATAAAAATCTTTCTGTTCTAGTTAACGATCCTAATTCCATCCAAATTTGCCTTCGGCTTTTAGAGAAATTATGTTTTTAGTTCTGGTTTCGCCAACAGATGGCGCCACTTGCTTATTCTTGTCCAGGCTTTCTTATCTTTCTAAACATTATTTCCTATCTGGTTCATTTGCGGTTTTGCAGCTGAAGATGATGGTTCGGTAAAACCATCGAAACTAGTCCTGTGAAAATTTTGTAGGTATAACGCTGATTTTTGTTGTTTGACTTCTGAATTAGTATTTATTCGGCGTGTTATTGTGTCTTGCTTATATCTTGTACAGTTATATTCCAGCAATTAATAAGGCAAAAAAGTAGCTATTTCTTTTACTACTATAATACTTAACACTTCAAAGATAAAAGAATAAAAAGACTACTTTACGCCAAAATCAAATTGCATATTATCCATTTTATGCTATTCTATATGTCTTGGTGTTCTACTTGCAGCATTTAGATGACATTAACTATTAAATTTTCATACCTGTATTTGTTACCAAAAATTGTATTTTTTTGAGATGTAAATGTTTAAAAATGTAATATAATATGGGAATACAATTTCAGCATGCGCCGTTATATAGAACAAATCATGTGAACAAAAGATCTGTGAATATAACTGGTAATGGAATTCCATACCTTAAAAAATGCCTTCCCCCAAAATTGCCAAATGCTGGACATGGAAAAATTCAAGATAGTTGATAAGATAAAAAATGAAATTTGCAGTGCCAAGTGAATGGAAAAAGAAACTTATAGTCTAAGTTTATGAAAACAGTCACTTTATTTGTTATTGAAACCCTAGATTTAAAATAAGATTTTGAAAAAGAAATGCATTTCAAACATAAAGCCAATATATTTTTGTGGGCCTCAAACATATAAAATATTATAAGTAATTTATAAAATTCCATCGCCACAACAGTTGGTGGAGATTCTGCCAAACTTGCACCAACCATACCAGAAGTTTGAAAGCATATACCTTTCTTATTAGTTAGGTAATCAAAAGATACATTTATTATTTATTATAGATTTTTTAAAATTTCCAATAGCAGATAAGAAGACAACTGTAGTAAAAAATATAACTATATTAACAGAAGAAATAGGTAATAAAATTAGAATTACGGTAAATCTATAAATTGATGATCTTGTACCGAGCTCTCCAGTATTTCTCCCACGCTTTCCACTGAAGAATCCTCAGGAAAAATTTTCTTTGAGAGCAGCACATAATGCCAAAAGTTGTAGATCATGTAGCGTTACCCTGGGGTAAAAAAGTTAAATTGCATAAAATTTTTTGATTGCATTGCAATTTTTTATTTATTTTCAAATAAAGTCGCATATCATGCCCATTTATCTCTTCACTCCCAGGATATCATATATGATATGCTTCTGTTTTCCATATCAGATGTGATATGGAAGCAAACTGTGATTTAGTGGCTCACACACATCATATTTGGTATGCTGAAATGGAATATTTTATTTAATCCTTTAAATGTTCTTAAATTATGTCAGAATGCTGCAGAATTATATTAAAGGGAGAATCATGAGTATTAACCTTGTTATGAATATTATGTTATTCTATGAGTGTAAAATGCATATGCTAACAATGCACATTCAGAATTTAGAAATATTTCATGCAATACAAGTGGCTACTCGGGTTACCATAAATGAAAGAACAACTTGGTGATAAACAAAACAACAACTTGCCGATAAATGAAACAACAACTTGGTGATAATACAAGGGGTATCTTCAGTATATTCTAACCCTTGGAACTTCAGTTAATTAAAATTTTTGATGGAATGATTGTCGTTTTACAGAACTCATGCACACAAGTACAGATATAAAATTGTTTTTATTTGTATTAAATTTTTGTTTTGTTTAATACTATGTTTTGAAAACGGAATCGAAGACATCTGTTAAACAGTTGTAATTTTTATGCATTATTTCCTAAAATGTGCATGCGCTAATTTTTTTCTTTTTTTGTTTTAGTGAACTTAATTGGAATCAATGTTGGAAATACAGCAACTCGCACTAGTCGCTTTGTGAATTATTTGCGTAATTTATTACCATCGACAGACACAGGTGTTATGGAATTAGCAGCTTATGCAATAGGCAGACTTGCATTAGTCAGTGGTACTTATACTGCAGAATATGTGGAATTCGAAGCTAAAAGGGCATTTGAATGGCTGAGTGGGGATCGCCAAGAGGCTAAAAGACATGGTGCTGTGAGTAAACATTCTGTAGTTATTATAATAGTAGGCAAAGTAACAACCTTTTGTTCAGCATAGATTTTTGTCAAGTCTCTATTGATTTTGAGAGCAAACAGTTACAGTTACCTCTTTATCTCTAGTTCTTCTACTGCAAAGAAATCTGCAGAAAAGGGAAGCCACAGTTATATTTATACCCAAAAAGAGTAAAATGATTGCTGAGTTATCGCTAAGTTCAAGCACTTACAACATAAACTTGAGAAGGGTTAAAATAACTTCTTATTTACTCAAAGAAATAACAACAGGCGGCTCCTTCTCAGGCTTTCAGGAAAGCCTCCATTTGGGCTTTTACATCGTGATAAGAAAATAAGAAACTAATCTAATACTAACTAAAATAGACTTAGCCAAAATTAGACACAAATATCTAATGTAGTTGGCCCTTTATTTAAGCTAGCCAGCAATTATCAACAGGCACATACAATATGGCCGAGTGTAAAAATTCACAAACGAAGTAGCCAGAAGGCAAACATGCACCACTGAGAACTCCTAAGCACTCTCTTTCAAAGCAAGTTAAATTTCTTTTAAATACTACTTCTAACTCATTTGCATTCAGTGCAAATCTGAAAACTCATTCTGGTAGGGAGTTGTAAGTGGAAAACAAGAATTGAAAGGAAAAGGTTTCAAAATTAAAAATAACTGTTTTAAAATTAACATGCACCTTATAAAGTTAATTGAAACATTAAGTTGATAGAATTTAAAAGTGTAAGGAAGGACTGCACTGGATTTAAAATCCTTAACTAAACAAGGTGAATCTTTGTGAATATGAAAAGCTTCAAGAAAATTCAGTTCAGTAACGGATTTATTTTTGCAAACTGAAAGTCCAAATTATGATTAAATTTCCAACTATGATTAGCTGTCGAAGAGTTTCTAATTTCGTTTTTTTAATAAGATTCGTTTTCCTTGATGTAGAACTTTAACACTCTTTTAATTTGGCTGATATTTCTCAACCTACTCTGATGAGATACAATATTAATTTCCTAAGAATTCAAGTCAGAAATGGAATCTTTTAGAATAAAACTATGGATTTATTTTGAAAGGCAAGGAAATGATTTGAAAATTTAACTTTTGGAGAATACGTGTGATTTTGTAACTGATAGAGAGATGAAATGGAAGCATGAAAAGGTTATTAATGTTATTTCTATCAACGGAATGTTTTCTTTTTTTAATAATTTGAAAATAAAAAATTTATATACAAGGTGTGGCTATTAATTTCCATAACTGCTCTAATAACATCAGAACAGATGATGTGAGAAATGTAATCTTTTAATATGTTTCGAAGTAATCCCCACCTTCCGTAATACACTTCTGTGCTCGTAATGTATAAGTTGTGGAAACAACTTTTAAAGTCCTCTTTTGGAAGGCTCTTCAATGTCGACGTCACGTTCTTCTTGATGTCTTCAACATCCACAAAGCGTGTTCCTTTGATCACAGTTTCGAGTTTGGGAAACAAAAAGAAGTCTGCGGGGGCCAAGTCAGGAGAGTATGGTGGATGGTGCAGCTCCACAACCTCATATTTGGCCAAAAACCTCTTCACTGGCAATGCAATGGGGGGAGGGCGGGCATTGTCATGCAAAGTGATGTCAATATTGAACAGCTTTCCGAAAGAGGACTTAAACGTAGTTGTTTCCACAACTTATACAGCCGAGCACAGAAGTGTATTAGCACAGATGGGGATTACTTCGAAGTAGAGCACAGATGGGGATTACTTCGAAACATATTAAAAGGTTACGTTTTTCACATAATCTCTTCTGGTGTTATTAGAGCAGTCCTGGAAATTAATAGCCAAACCTTGTAGAATATGGAAGTTCTGCTTTCATTTGTATATTGTGTATTTCTTTTACATTAGTCATTTACAAATATAGTTCAAATACTGCACTTTTATTGTTGGTTTTCTGTTACTTATATCACATTGTTTGATTTTTTTCAGTTTGGTGCAGTTTTAGATTTTGCTTTGCAATACGAATTTTGCTGTACCCCCCCTCCAAAAAAAGGTGGGATGCCATGTAAAAATATTTTTAAATTAAGCACTCAATCAAGAATAAATAAAAACTTTGATACTACTTCTTCTACTACTGCTACTATTACTACTACTAATTTTTAGTTTAAAATAATATACATGGAGCTAGGGAAATGAAATAATCCAAGTTTTACAAACCTGTACTGTAATTAGCAGCTGTAGAGTACAATTCCAATAGTGTTACTTAAGTCCTCATAATATTGTTAGAGCAAAAATGCAGTTCTTTTAATCATGTTAAAAAATGCAGTTTATATCCATCAAATGTTGTTTACTAAGGGAAAAACTGTAAACTGCTTTATCATAGATTTAAATTTTAAATTTACTGCCTTTTAGACCAGGAAGTCTGAAAATGAAAATGAGCCCTGCCTCCAAGTTGTTCAGACTCTATATTTTTATTGTTGTTTCATGTGCAATACACATTTTGAATGAGGATTATTTTTGTTTATGTGAAAATTATAAATCTATAGATTTAGCTTTACATTTAGCTGTGAATTTTTGTTTCATGAAACTGTGACTTTACCTTTGTTTATTTGCCTAACATAGTTGCTTTACTTGCTTTATTTCAGGCTTTAGTTCTCCGAGAATTAGCAGTTTCAACGCCAACATTTTTCTTTCAACAGGTTCAACAGTTTTTTGATTGTATATTTAATGCTGTGAGAGATTCTAAGGTAATCTTTTTAATTTCATATTTTTTTATTTAATTTCATATTTTCTTTCTAAATTAGGTAAATCTGATATTAAATTTTGTTCATTTAAGTAAAATTGATAACTTACTCATTTCAGCCTTCTATCAGGGAATCAGCAGTGGCAGCCTTAAGAGCTGCATTAGTTGTTACTGCTCAGAGAGAAACTAAAGAGACACAAAAACCTCAGTGTTATAAGGTATCAATATTATTCAGATTTTAAGTTAGTTAATGTGTAATTTATTGAAATTGTATATTTATAAATTAAATTGGTTAATTATAATTTTATTTTACTTTATAATAGTATTATTTATAAATTAAATTAATTCTGTTATGTGTTTAAATTGAATTTTGATTTTTTGTATTTCATAAGGCCATTTATTATAAACTAGAATATATGTAGCTCTATTTTTTGTAGATTAGTTTCTTAAAGAATAATCAGTAAAAATATGAATTTGTATGTTTTTGGTACTGTTCTGTTATCGAGACCAGATTCAGAAATCTATGAATATATGCATGTGTGTAAGTATGTGCATATATGTGTATATGTGTACATACACATACATTCATGCTTAGATGTATACATGCATACATAAACACATCCATCCATCCATACATGTATACATGCATTTTTGGATCTCTTCCTGATAACAGAACAGTACCAAATTTTTTATATATTGTCCATTGTAAAGTCTGTATTTTTTTTTTTTTTTTTGAAAATCTAAATCTAAAATCGTAATATATTGTACAACATTTTCTGTGTTAAAAATAAAATGCTGAGGTTCATAGTTTGCTTGTTGCATTAACTACTCATATTTTAAATTGCAGCTTGTAAAGTCTTGTATTATTAGGAAGCGTACAGTATCAACTTCGACTATTGAAGAATTATCTTCTAGTCATGTGAAACAAAACAAAAGTCAGAGAAAGGGGGTATAAGACTCTTTTATTTGAACCAAAGAAGTAACAATGACCCCACTTGGGTTTGCACAAGCCAGCACTTCTGGCTTACATAAATGCATAATGTTGAACTAAATCAAATGTAATAGATTATCCTAACGGCTCACAGGATAAAGTAATGCATAGGAAAGGGTTTGGTTTGTAAAACACCGACAGGACAAGCGTAGAATCTCTCAGCGTCACAGAATCAAATTGCTAATAAGTCATGGTACAACGGGGTCTGAATTTGGCAAAACGCTGTCTAAAATTAACTTGTGAAACCTTCATTTAAAGAACACTTCTTTCTCCCTCATTTTGAATAATTGATCGCTATCTCATTTACATTCTGGCATGAAAAGTGTGAGCGAGAAGAGAGTGACAGAAAAGTACTTAAACTTAGCTATTAATTAAAAATAAATAGATAAATACTCACAAGCTTTAAATAACTAAAGGGAAAACTTTTTTGTTCTGAACCTGTATTTAAATTACTTTATGGTGATTTTCGCAATTTAGAATTTTGATTCAAACGAATATCAGTTTTTTTTTGTAATACTCAGTTTCATTATAATGAAAAGTTGCATAGATGAGTTATGTTGTATGTTTGATATTAATTTTTCAAGTTTTTTAATTGTTCTCAATTCAGACCTCCATGTGGTTATATTCAAAAGTTAAAATAAAATATAATAAGGTGTAAGTTTTGAGTATTCAATAACACATATCTACACTTTAAATTAGAATTTTATAACTTATGAAATCGTTATATAATTGTAAATTTAACTTAAAAGTAGATATTATTCCTATATTTATAGTATGAAATTCTGTTTTTTTTTAAATAAATAATAACAGATATTTATGCTCTCAAAGAAAACATTTCTTGTGCTATAGTCTTTTTATTTTCTGGTGGGAATTTGTAATTCATCCCCCAAAGTGTATAATAATTCAATAAATTTTTGTAGAAAATGTGAAACAACCATGTATTTCAACAATTGCTATTTCTATTTGAAACTGAAATTAACTACCGTATATACCCGCGTATAAATCGAGATATTTTGGACAAAAAAAAGACTTCAAAGTTTAGGGTCGACTTATACGCGGGGCCATAAAAAATTAAAAGAATCGGAAGTTCAAAAATGTCTTTATATAATGCAGTTGTTCTCTTCCCCCACTCAAATTGGACGACTTATCAAATAAGTCATTTACTTGAAGTAATTTCATGACTTAAATTATGTGACGAACTAATCACAGAGTTTCATACTAGTTAAACAGACGTCGTCAAGCTGCTGGATTTAAGTTAGTATTTCTTTCACGGAAGAGACTAATAACTGTGCTGCTTCTCGTCAGTTTGGGGTTGACAAAAAATTGATTCGTGATTGCGCAAGAATAAAGTAAAGTTACAAAAAATCCCAAATCAAAAAGTCGTCGCGACATGGAAAGTTCCTTTCCAGAACTCTAAAAGACTTGTATGCTTGGTTTTTTAGGGTGGCGGCAGAATGGTTTCATGTCACTAGAACTGGCATAAGCACAGCAATGAAGCTTGCAAAAAAAAAGTAGGGTTCCACCATTTCGTCCAATCGATTCGAGACTGAAATATGTACTGATGAGAGCCAATGAACACAGTTCTATGAAATGTTTGGTGAATCTGCCCCTGATCGACGTTGCGGATTTTGATTTGTTTATTTACCCAGGTATTTTTCGTATATTTCTTTTTTTCTCAGATGATTTGAATAAATGTACATTTAAAAAATTTTTTCGAAGTTTCTCTCGCTTTCAAAGTGGGGGGGGGTCGACTTATACGCGAGTTTCTTATTTTCTACGAATTTTTTATGTCGAAGTGGGGGTCAACTTATACGCGGGTATATACGGTATTTTTTTTTTTTTGCTTATTATGTGCTCACCCTTAGGCACTACACAGAAAGGGAGGGATGCCCCGTGGGGGGCTTTTTACGGGAAACTGGCTCATATCTGTGTTACACATGGGTAAAACCACGAAAACACCCATGCAGCCAGCCTGTTTGCTAGGACTCGAACCCCAGACCGAACTTACCAGTGTTCAGCGGCTTCTACCGCTCGGCCGCTGGTGAGCCAAAATTAACTATTGAAAATAATTTTTTTCCTTTAGCATTTTTAGCAGATAATGATTATGTTTGGTATGCATTACCTATGTAAAATGCATTTAGGTATTAAATTTTTGCGATATATTTTATATTCTCTTTGTTTTGTTAGCAATGTTATGATGAAGCTGTGAAAGGTTTTGATGAAGCTGCTAAAGAAAAAGGTGTTGCTAGAGATGATAAAATCCATGGGTCACTGCTTGTTATCAATGAACTGCTGCGTTGCAGTAATCTGGAAGGAGAAGTATGTGCTACTTAATATGTTTATATTTCAGTTATTGCTTTTAGGAATGTTTTTTGCATTGTGCTTTTCCACTGTATCACTTTTATTATTTAAATTATGGTCATTATTAATTGTATTACAAATTAGAGGTTAGAAGCATTTTACACTGCAGTTTTATTTGATTAAGTAACTCAAGGCTGACTGTTGAAACTCAGTTTTTAAAAAATTATACAATTGACAAATAATTAATTGAAAATTAATAAATAATAAATTGATGATGAATATACAGGAAGTACTATGTAGGGATGCTTGAGCTAACCAGGAAAAACCTAAAATTAATTAAATGTAAGTAATAATTAGTAAGGTACTTGCGTATTATCGCAACCAGGTTGGCGCTATTTGTAAGTTTGAGTAAAAAAGTATGAATAGAAAGAAAATGTACATTTATTAATTACAGATAATTTTTAATACAGTTTTTTATATTATTTTTTTTTAAAATATAAAATAGCAATTAAACCCTTCCGGTTTCGAATTTGAATAAGTTGCAGAATTATTTTTTCGGCGGAAATCTTTTGGCTATTGCTTTTAGCACTGATTGAAAACCGTATTCGCCATAACCATGTACACGTCGACTTATTTTTACTTAAAAAAACATCCCAGAATTGCACAAAAATGGCACTGCGCACACTGTTGACTTTATCCATGTACACTGCTATTTTCTGATAAATTACAAAAATTTGCACGAAAATGCAGGAAAATTTTGTGAATCTCCACGTGCTCTTTTTACAAAACTACGTATAACACGTAGGGTTGTCGTAAGTAGGGTCGCCAAATTTGGCAATTTATGCGAATTTGGCCTGGTTGCATTAATACGTAAGTACCATTAGTAATTATTATTAGTAATAATTAAATGTAAAGTAGCCAGATCACAAGTAAAATTTTATAATCTAATCCCAATTTCTAATCCTTATACGAGAAAATCAAATAAGAATATGAAATGTATAGTCATAAGACTAAAGATTTTATGTTTATGAAAAAGAAGACTGTCAAAGAAAGAGATCTTTAAATAGAATTCTTCTGAATTCAAAGTATTATGTCGAACATTGAGATATTCATCATAATATATTGTTTGGAATTATCTTTCTAGATATTTTTGTGTTTTAAAAAAAGCATATGTACTTAAAAAAGGAAATCCTCAGTAATGTTTGAAATTTTGTTTTCGAGAAGAAAGTAAAAAATATGTCAACATCTCAAAACTGTCGGAAATAAACCGTGAAATTTGGGTATAAAAATATGGCGAAAGTTGGCGATTTTTTTGGTGCCATTTCTGTTTATGTCCAATGCCCTTCCCAGTAAAATGGCATCGAAAACATAATGAAACATAATTAAAATAAAAAGTATATAATCTCAATAAACTGCATTTTAAATCAAACAAGGAAACAACATAAGAATGGAAATACATGTTACAATGTGTAACAAATAATAATCTGTGCAATACAAAATCTGTGCAATACAAAAAGGAAATATCAACTTACCTTATTTAAAAATTTCTGTTTCTTTGGTATGTGAGACATACAAAACTCCTTAACAGCATCCAAGAACTGTTTAAAATTATCTGAACAGAATCTGTATACTACCGTCGCCATATAAATTCACAAAAATAAAAATCAGAAATATTCTCTCTACTCCCGGACTGTTAGTGGCATTTCTTTTGAAAATCCCTTTTTATTTCACCCCACAAACCTTCTGAAGTGTTGATATGAGCTCTGGTTTCCGAATCCTTAAATCTCGCTGCATAATTTACTGAGAGGTGAACAAAGCCATTAAATCTTCATTTATACACCAGTCAATCAATGTTTTCTTTCTCTCCAAAGCATTCACAAACTTCAGGTTAATCTTACCACCAGTAGGCATTTTACAGTGTAAAGTACAAAATTACGTCTTCCTAACCCACCAATGCATCAATAAGCTCTACAAATATTTTTCATCAGTCAAATTCACGCAATCATGCAAACCGTCACTCATATAGGATTTGCTCATCACTACTCAGATTATCATGAATGAAACAACAACTTGGCGATAATCCAAGGGGCACCCTAAAATATAGACTAACCGATATTTGTGACCCATGGATGTGTGAGATAATATAGACTATAATAGATCCATGTGATAATATAGACTAACCGATATTAGTGACCCATGGAATTTATTGAAAAAAAACTTGCGCTTTCCTTGCTATCTTAAAAAATTGGTAGCACAACTTAATGGCCATATTATCTTCGAAACTGTGTGCTAATATATTATTATTATTTTTTGGATTTAGAATGAAACTAAAATAAATAGTACTATTTGAAGTAGTAATTTATAATAAATAATAATAATAATGAATAAAGTTTGAGTAAAGAACCATTTGATGAAATTTGTCTTTAAAGGAAAAAAAAAAAAAAAAAAGAAATTAGGAGCAAAAGAGTTCTTTATCTGATCATATAATCTGAGGAAGAGGAATTTTAAAATCCTAAAATTTTAGAACAAATTATGATAAGAAAAATATTTAGAAAAAATTATATTGATATGCTGCTTTTGAATTTTATTTTCAGTGTAAAATCTTGTGCCTCTTATTTTGCTTTAAAATAGTCTAAAAGAAATTATGTGCTTTCTTTGATTTATTCCTATTTATTCTGCTTCTCTCGTAAAAACTAAAAAAAATTTTTTTTATTTATTCATTTACTTGTTTATTTATGACTTGAAATCTGCAAAACTCTTAACATCTCTCTGGTTCCAAGTAGGGTAGATTTCTAGTTTTTCATTGTGCACATATTTAAGAATGAGATTTAAAATAAATCTTTTCTTTCTGTTTTCTATAATACTATGTTAGAATCTTAATATTTATAAAAACACTTTTTGCAGCTTATTCGTCAAGAATTAGAAGATATAATTCAGCAGCAAGCATCTCATGATGCCCATGGTCATCGTTATAGCTTCTTGAAGGAACTTGGTACTGGGTCACTAACTCGTAGCTTTCGAGCTTTACATCAGCTGCATCAAGGTGGCCAGTCAGGAACACAGAAAGGCATTGGACTTTCAGCTGTTGTTAAATATCACAAAGCTCTTGGCACATATCCAGGTGTTGTTATGCCA